AAAAGGCCATGTCCATGACACCTTCTCACCTTTTCAGCTTCTAGAGGTTTTCTCTCTGTGTCTCTGTGTCTCTGTCTCTCTCTCTGTCCCAGCAGTCAAGCTTAAGTCTTGCTGCTTCCTCCAAACATGTGTCACAAGGTGTCTTCGCCATCCTTAGGAGGCAGGAATGTGATCCTCCATGAATCCTGCTCCCGTTTCCAAGCCTGAACCTACCTCCCCTCCCATGCTACTTCCAGACTGTTCCTGTGACTCACTTTGCCAACAGCATGTGGCAGAGTGATGTGCACAACCTGGCCAAAGCCTTAAGAAGGACCAACAAGTCTTCCCTCTGTATCCTTGGAAGCTGGCCACTGACTAACGACCTTGCAGAGACAGGCCACGTGACTATGCCCTGAAGGAGGGCACACCATGTGGAAAGAGGCCAGATGGAACATCCAGGTGGGTGAATATGGCCCTTCTATGAGTCCAACCCAGTGGAGTCGTCTGGACTCAATCCTTAGCTGCCGTTTGACCTCAACTCTCTTGGCACGGCAGTTTGCCGAAGTGAACCAACAGAAGAACCACTCAGCTGAGCTCTGTTCATAGGATGGATGCTGGGATGCTTTGTTACCTAGCAATAGAGAGACCACCTCTTCACTGTCCACAGCACAGCCCATCAATTCCCACAGCTACCCCTATCACCTCATAATCACATGAACCTGGACTGAGAGAAGAGGGAAAAGAGAGGACATGGAGTTCAAGAATCCCCCTTTGCAAGCCCCATCATATCATTCCACTGTCAAGCATGGTCACAGTCTGTTTGGCTTTTTGAATGGGCTATAACAGAACATCACAAGCAGGTACATGATAAAATAAATGTATTTCTCATGGTTCTGGAGGCCAAGGAGTCTAATATGGAGGTGTCAGCCTCTGCTGAGTTCTTACAGCATCATCCTATGGGAGAAGGCACAGAGGAAAAGGGCGAGCTCTCAAACTAAACACCTTTGAGCCACTTTATAATTGGCACCAATCTATTCGGGGGGTGGAGCCCTCATAACCCAAATACCACCTGGCATGGCTGTGCTTCAGTGGTAAGTTTTCAAGCAGTATCTCGCAGGACTAACCCTGCCACCCTGCTGGCATGAGCCTCAGCACCATCTAAAGGAAAGCTCTGGCATGTCTGCATTGCAGTCTTCCAACCCTTCCAAGATCAAGATCACTTCCCCAAAACTCTGGGTGTTTCTACTGAGGTCTTTTTTTTTTTTTTAACTTCTCTCCAAAGTAAGAGCAAACCACGGGAATTCCTGAGTCCAGTTGGGCCTTCAGGTTTGGCCTGACAAGCCCTTGTGCCCACTCTGGCACCACACCTGACTCTTGGGATAGAGTCTACCTCCATCTACCTTTTGCTGGAAAATGCCCTTCATGTCAGGTCCCCAAGTCTATGGAAGTGACCCAGGGCCTGACTTGGAGCTTGCCAGTACCCCACAACCTCCAGCCTGGCCTTGGCTCTTCCATCCATTTACTCTTCTATTGTGTCTCTCAAACTATGTCAGTAGAGTTCTCGGATGTTCCCTTCCTTCCTGGCTGAAGGTACTACCAAGAAAGGCTGTTCCCTGCTCTCATCTCAGGGCCTTTATACACCACAGCCAGCTTTGGGTATCAGCTGGTAGGCCTGGTTATGGTTGCGATCTTAAAGGTTCCCCAAAATCCCATACACTAACGATTCAGTAATCGGCCTGTGGCATCCCTAGAAAATGGTGGAACCTTTGAGAGGTAGGTCCTAGTTGGAGAATGGGAGGTGGGGGTAGGGGAGCTAGAACACTATCCCTCCTTCCTGGCCAGTATGAGATGTTCCCCTCTGCCATACATATACTCAGAATTTAGTGGACCAAGAATTGGCCATAAAACTGAAAACACCAAACCCAGGTTCAAAGCACACCTTTCCTCCTTGTAAATCTGATCCCAGGCACTTTGCTTGCCAGGGCAATGGGAAGCTGACCAGCATGATTCTCATGCCTCTGGGGTGCCCTGTAAAGGGCTGGGCCACACCTTGAATAACCAGGACCCATATTTCTCTGTCTGGGCTTAGGTCCTCTAGAGTCCATCTTCTTAAGCCAGATATTGACTGTATCATTTTCCTAGCTCTTAGGAGATGTGATCAAAGAGATTGCCCCAATGACCATGTCCTCTAAGACCTTGCTTCCATCTGAGGCTGGCTATCCCCAAGGCAGATCTAGCAGGCCTTTCAGGGTCAACTTCCAATCCCCCTAAGTGGTATGTGTTTCCTGCAAAGGCAGGCCTCCAGCTTCCCTTTCTTTGTCTGAACCAGGAAGAGATTCCTGGGGAGAGTCCACTTTGCACATTCTTGTCAGTGCCTCACACCCTCACTAAGACTTCCTGTTATCCCTCTTTCCACTAGAGAGCAAAAGGGATACTGTGGGGGAAGCCCCATTCTTCATCTGGATGCCTATCACCCCATCCTTCCCTGGGAGGCTGATGGGGTCCATTCTATTCCCCTACAGCAGCACCATCTTCAAGGCTTGTGGGTCTTCCACCATCTACTAGCTGCTGCTCAGTTCCTGTAGTCTCAAGATTCATACAGTTCATTCTGAATCCACTGACTACTCCCCAATGTATGGAATCTGTCTGTGAACACTCAGCCTATCCCAAGAGGCTCCATAGCATACCCCTTCCCAGCTGCCCAGCGATGTAGTTTATTCTCATAGGAGGTTGCCAGCCACCAAGAATCTGAGCCACAAACCTCCATGCTGGTGCTGAGAAGGATGGAGTTGGGCAGTAGGGTCTGGGCAGAGGGGCCAGGTCCACCCTTGCCTCCACCTTTGAGAGATACTAAAACCCACCTCAACTGGCCACAGGTGTATTTAAACCTCAGGGTTGGCAGCAGGGGTGCTCCAGGGTACCCCCAGGTTGTAGCTATCCTCCTTTTGGCCCCAGTATTGCAGGTCTTATTAAGGATACTGTCAAAACGCCAAGCTTAGGTGCATGTCCACCATTCTTCACATACATCATTCTAGATCATTCTTTTACTGACCTCAGGGTTTCAAAATACTCAAGGAACTTAGCCAGTCACCCAATTGTTGGTTTAGTGTGCAAACATGACCCCTTGGATGACAGACTTGCTTTTATCATGCTGTCACATCTTCTCTTGTCTGTAAAATGAAGACAGTGACAGATATTGTGGCACAAGCCTGGAGTCTCGGCGCTCAGAAGCAGAGACAAGAGGACTGTAAATTTCAAGCTAGCCTAAGCTACATAGTGAGACTGTGGTTCAAAACAAATAGAGCTTCCTATGTGGAGGACAGCACCTCAACTTCGCAGAGATGTCAGGAAACTGGTGATGGTGCACATGGCTTGTGAAAGTACTCTACAATGGGAGGGTCCTCCTGGTGGCACTGAGTGTCTATTCATAGATGGGAGGGGTCTGAAAGGTCCCTAAGTACCAGAGACTTCCCAGCTCTGTAAGTGCCAAGGGATGCCACAGGCACGCCCAGGCCATCCCAGATGATAATTCTGCTTTGTCTCCTGGGTCTGTTCATGTTCCCTTCCCTCCCCCAGGGAAAAGCAGGGGCACTCTGTTCTTACAAATCCCCACCCAAAACAGCTGGCTGAATCCAGCCAGGGACACTCCTCACCAGACAGACAATCACCAGGCAAATTTCCACATCAGTATTTCCTGGGGAAACGTGGCCACCAAAAGAACTCAAACATGCCTTTCAGAGAGCTTTTTTTTTTTTTTGTCAGGAGGTTTCCCTGTCAGATGATGCTTCCATTATTTTTTTTTTATGGGATCTCTAGAGATGGAACTGGGAAATGCAGAGAGCCAAACCTGAGCCTCTCTTGCAGATACAGGTGCTGGGAACATACCACAAGAGGGAACTCACCAAAGAGAATTCTCTGGGAAGAGACCCCAGGAAGCTCATTCCAGCCTTTTCCCTAGGAATACTTTGGTCTATCTAGAGCGAGTTTTCTGGACCCGAGAGAACTATCATGTGCTTCCAGAAGGCTGGGCAAACATTTGATAATGCTGCCACAGGACATTTGTCAGGCCTGCCCACTCTACAACCCTCTCACCTCTAACTCCCCCACCTCACCCTGGCCGGAGTTGCATGTAGCATTTTCACTCAAAATTTGCTACTTTGTTCTTAAGTAGGTCCCAGTAAAAGATAAATTTGAGTCCTTCTTTAGGCTGGCTTCCACCAAAACATAGGAATACATACAGGACTGAGGGTAATGGTTAGTTTAGTCTTTATGACAATCTTGGAATCAGCAGTCTCTCCATACTCCCCCCGCCCCCGCAACACACACACACACACACACACACACACACACACACACACACACACACACACAAAGGACTTTAGAAACTTAGACACTCTCACTCAGACTGTGACCATGAGCTCAGTGATTAGAGGCCAGAGAGGCCTCACAATTGTCACCCAGACAATAAGCAGCCAGCTGACTTGGCTCAGCTGTCCTATGTAGCCTTGGGGTGAAGCCAGATCCCCAGGAACAAGCCACTTTAGGGTACTGAGCCTAGAGGAAGGGGCGCTGACTGAGGTCTGGTTGTATCCCCCAGACAAGCTTGCTGCTCTGCTCTGGCTTACTGCTAACTGGTGCATCTCAGCTGACCAGCAAGTGGGCGGCCCGGGGACAATCAGGGTAGTCCATCCCCGGACAGCATGACTGACCATTGATCCGTGGGAAAGGCGGGGCTGTGGGACCACCTTTCCCAAACCAGATCATCCGTACTCCTTGCCAAGACCACCGAGCTCGGCGGCCCTTTGGCGGCCCCTGTCACCCGCGGCAGCGCGTCTGCTTGCCTGCTCCAGAACTCGCACAGGCAACAAGTTCTCCCTTCCCCCGAGCGGCCACGACGTGCTTGGAAGGCTGGGTAAGGGGGGAGTGCTGCCCACGACCCATGGTGTCCCCGCACCCTTCGTTCCCCAGAGCGCCGAGGTTGAGAGGATCTCAGGTCCCCGACCCCAGCCCTAGCCTCTCACCTCCAGCAGTTGCACGTAGCTGGCGGGGAACCAGCCACGAAGCCCGTCGTCCTTCTCGCCTTCCCACCAGCCGCCGTCCGGGACCTGGAGCAGTGTGAGCAACTCGCCCGCAGCGAAGCGTAGCCCCTGGCTGTGCCGCTCCCCGGAGAAGGGGTACAGGGTCCGGCAGCGGGCGCCGGCCATGGCCCTGGCGCCCGGGTTCACAGTGCAGCCCGCATCCCTGGCTAGCCCCGCGGGCTGGCCACTGGCTGCGCGGGGTCCCAGGCGCCGGGTGCTCCGGGCTCCCGCGCTCTGGGCGCGCGCCGTGGCGGGGGTGCGCAGGGGTTCCTGGGTCTCCGGGCCACAAGCGCTGCTTTCAGGGAAACGGACGCTCGCTGGCTCCGTGGGCTCCGCGGGCTCCAGAGAGCTAGCGGCGACGCCCCCGGGCCGGGCGGCTCTGCGGTCCCCCGCGCCGGGCAGGGGGCGGGGCCCAGGGGGAGGAGACCCGAGGGCCGCAGGCTCACAAGACAACTTCCCCTGGCCGGGGATGCCCGAGTGCCCTGAGAGGCGCAACTGCCCCGGGAGGTGGTGCCCAGAGTATCCCCCTTGGCGGAGCTAGTCAGAGGCGAGTGGGGCCCGAGAAGACCCGCGGAGGGAGAGCGCTGGCGGCCGGTGGCCGGGCGGAGACTCTCTCGAGGCAACCAGGGCGGGCAATGGGCTGGGCCAGACCAGCCACGCCCGCCGAGGGCTGGGCGCTCCCCAGCAGAGGGGCTCTCTGGCGACCCCGCCACCCAGAGTCGCAGGAATGGGAACGCCCCTCGGTTCCTCCTGTTTGGATCTGTGGCGGGTGACAGGCGGCGCTGCCTCCCAGGTGTCTGCAAGGGAATGCGTTTGTGACCATCATTGTAGTGCATGAAGCCTGGCTGAACTTGACTCACAGGAAACTGAACAATGGATAAAGACAGGTTTGAAGGCTGGCGCCGAAGCCGGGAAGCCCGGTGACAGGGTGTCATACCAGCGGAGGACGCCTTGCGGAGATGAAGAGGAGTCTGGGTTAGTAGGCTTAGAATCTGGCCAATGAGGCTAAATATTGGAAAGGCTAAATAAAAGAGAATAAGCACCTTTTTAGCTCTTCGGGAAATGGTTAGGGTTGGGGAGTGTCGTGGTCTAGTACCCACCCAGTCAGCCAGGCACCAGATATTAGTAGGGGCTTGCTGTGTTCCCTGTAGCATCTGGATAAAACCCTGCCCTTGAGACACTCATGGACCTCAGGTGCTGAAGAAGTATAAGTCAAGAGTACAGAAGGAAAAGCCCTATTTCTTTGCTAGTTTAAAAAAAATAAAGTACATTTCCTAAACTGTAAATGGCTGGACCCTTCACTACCAATGTTATAATCAGTTGAGCATCCCTAATGGAAAAAATCTAAAGTACAAAATTCAGACATTGTAGAGCTAACAGCATGTCCTGGTGGAGAAGTCCACTGTCAAAGAAAAGCACGGAGGCACTGGGTGAGTGTACACCTGTAATCCCAGCCCCTGAGAGATAAGAGCTGGAAGATGAAGAGAGTTCCAGGCTAGAGTCCCATGGCCAGAGAGAAGGGGAGAGAAGAGAGAGGGAAGGAGAGAGAGACAAAATATATTGCTGAAGAGATTGTGTAAAGTTACATTTGAGCTATCTGTATTCATTTCAGATTAATTTAATGTTAGACTTTGGTCACAGTCCCAAGACATCACATTACATATATGCAAATATTATAAAATCCTTTACATTTTGGTCCCAAGTTTTTCTTTTCTTTTTTCTTTCTTTCTTTCCTTCTGCCCCACCTTGAGACAGGGCCTTAATATGTAGCCCTGGCTTGTCTGAAGCTATGTAGACCAGGTTGGCCTCTAAGTCACCAAGATCTGTCTGCCTATGTTTCCTGCCAAGTTTTCCCAATAAGGGATACACAGCCTATAGTTCCTACCAACTATTTTTGCCCCTTCCTCAGTAACCTTGTATGGCTTCCTCTGGCCTATTCAGCTAGGCATAAACCTCTCAGCATTTTAGGGTAGGATATCCATGACAAACTCAGTTCAGTACTGGGCACAGAAAGCCTTATGTTCTTGCATATCTGTCTGAACTTTGAACCAGGTCCCTTTAGCTCAATGATTCTCAGTCTTGGCAGGGCATTTCAAAACCACTCTATTGGGTCCATCCCAGCTTTGAGATTGTCCCTTGAGCCACAGTGTGCATTGAAACCACCTCACCTAGGCAAAATCTTCAGCCTGGACAACATGGCAAGTAGACATTGTAACATTCCATCAAGCATGGGCTGATGACATCTGCTTGCCCAGGAATTATGGGGAGCAAAAGCTTCAGCCCAGGTGCCAGTAAAAGTCCCATAAAGAAAACAGTTGCTAAACTGGGCATGATGTCTTCTACCTGTAATCCCAGCATTCAGGAGGTTGAGACAGGAAGACCACCAAAAAGTTGGGGGTCAGCCTGAGCAACATAGTGATGTACAGGCCAGCGTGGGCTGCAGGGTGTGAATTAGTCTCAAAAAGGCAAAATAACAACAACAAAAATTTGCTAAAATACCAATCGACTAACCAAAATTTGAAATGGTTCAAACACGGTGTCTCAAGTACATGGCTTTCTACAAATTGTCCAGACTTGATTGTGTGACTTGGTTCAATAAGAACTGACTGGTAGGAAAAATTCTTTATTACAGAAAACCCAGTCTCCACAGCATCCAGATTTTTTGGACACCAAATGGCCTGTCTCAGGCATTCCCACCTGTGGATGATGTGGTGATGTACTCATTAAGAAGGAAGAAACTGAATTCAGAGGGTGTGACTTGCCTTTGGTCACAAGCAAGATTTTGAGCTGGGGTTTGGCTTATTGTACCTGGAGTGCTGTTTCCTCTAGCCAGTCAGACCAGGCAGACACCATGGAGGGATGGGGGTGTGGCTCAGTGGTACAGTTGCTTAGCATGGGTGAGGTGCTGGGTTCCATCTCCAGCATCATGAGAAAGCAATGTAGACCCTAGAGTTGACACCCTGGAGTATCTGTGTGCAGTCTCAGCACTTAGGAGTCTAAGGTCAGGCTGGGCTACACAGTAAGACAAAGAGGACAGGAAGAGAGATGAGGCAGGAGGGGGATGGAAGAGAAGAGGAGAGGAAGGGAGGGGAGACATAACGGAAAAAAAAAAAAAAAAAAAAAAAAAAAAGAGGCAGGAAGGAAGGGCTCTGTGGGGCAAGACTCTGAAGGGAGAAAATGCTTGGGCAATGTGCCGTGTCAGTCAGTATAGAAATAAGACTAGAATAGCAGAGTGTCACTAATGTCCAAAATAGAGTTAGTACAGCCAGGCATGGCGACACAACCTGAGACAGAATAACTGTCTGTAGTTTGAGCTCAGTCTGGGCCACAAAATAAGATGCTACCTCCAAAAGAAGCATGCCTGAGGGAACCGAGGATGCAGCTAAGTTGACAGAGTGCTTGCCTTAAATGCATGAAGCCCCGGATTCCATCCAGCACCTCATGAACCTAGTGTGGTGGTTGGTAGCGGGCACTTACAATCCCAGCCCTTAGGAAGCAGAAACAGGAAGACTACAAGTTCCAGATCAACCTGTACTATAAGCTGAGATTTTCTGTAAACCAAGGCCTGCACCTCTCAGCATGTGCAAAGGACTGGGCTTGATCCCCAGCGCAAAAGAAAAGGGGAAGGCAAGGAAGGGAAATATCCACCCACACAAAACCTGTGGGACATCATAGCAGCCTAATAACTCAATGTGGAAGTGACCCAGATGCCTGCTGGCTCATTCCAGACGTTTGGGGAAATCTATCTACACAATGTTGCCATAGAATGGTGACTGAGCTGTGAAAAGAAGTAAGTATCAACACATGCGCTAGCAGGGACAAACTTCAAAGCTACCTCACGTAAGTTTGCAGATGTGAAAGGCCATGAATTCTATGATTCCTTTATGTGAAATGTCCCCAGAGGCAGATCCATAGAAACAGTAAATAGATTGGTGGTTGCCTGGGGACAGGAGTAAGCAAAGAAACACAAGATTTCTTTTGGGGTAGTGAAAATGCTCCCAAATTAGATTATGGTAATGATTGCGCAATTTGGTAAATTGCTGGATTGTACACTTGAAACAAATAGACTTTTAGAATATAAAGTACACCTCAAAGCTGTAACATTAAAAAAATAATAAACACAAACCAAGGCCTCCTTTATTTAGCCATATAGTTTCCTCCACCTCTGCATGCTAGTTCATTCAGCAAGAGTCCAAGGACTTGTTGAGTCCACTCTGTAAGCTGGATACTGTACGACTCGCCTGTAAGGTAAGTCCACTCTGTAAGATAGACACTGTGGGACATGCTGTGATCCAAACACTTGGGATCATGAGGCCTGAGGATCACAAGTTTGAGGATAGCTTGGGCTATATTACAAAGTCAGGTCAACCTGGCCTATGTGTCTCAAAAACAAAACAAACATGTCATAAAATAGGTAACACTCTGATCTCTAGAAATAAAGAGATATAAGAAGAGCCAGACTCTTTAATCCCAGCGCTGGGGAGGCAGAAGCGGGTGGATCTCTGTGAGTTTAAGGCCAGCCTGGGCTATAGAGAGGGTTTCAGGATAGTCAAGGATGTTACACAGAGAAACCCTATCTTAAAAAACCAAAACAGGGGTGAGGGCAGAGAATTCCTTTAGAGCAATTAAGGAAAAAGATGGATGACTGTCTTAGTCCATTTTGCCTTACTATAAAAAAACAACGGAGTCTGAGTATTTTATAAAGAAAGTAGTGGGGGTGGCACACATCTGTAATTCCAGCACCCAAGAGGCTGAGGCAGGAGGATTGCCATGAGTCTGAGGCCAGCTTGGCATATGTAGTGAATTTTGGGGCAGCCAGAGCTATATAATAGGACCTGTCTCAAAGGGAAAAGGAAAATGATAAGGGGGGGTCATGAAGGAAGATAAGAAGGAAACAGAGAGAGAGAGAGAGAGAGAGAGAGAGAGAGAGAGAGAGAGAGACTTACTTTAACTCTCAGGTCTCCCCGTAGTGAGGAGACTGCATCTGGTGGTTTCTGGTGAGGGCCATTGCTTTCCAAGCAGAGTAGATAGAGATGATATGGTAAGAGAAGGAGACAAGGAAGCCAAAATAACTTGTGGCAACAGCCCTTAAGGTTCCCAGTCTGGCCTGAGCCACCTCATCTACTCTCTACAAACCTGTAATGGGGAATGGCAAGCTGGCTCAGCAGGTAGAGGCACTTGCTGCTAAGTTTGGCTACCCCAGATTTGATCCCCAGCATCTCCATAGTTGAAGGGAATCGTTCTCTGACCTTCACATGCTCACCATGACATTTGAACACCCACTCACAATGAATATAATAAAAAGCGAACAAACAACAAAAAATTTGTATTGACTTGGGGCTGATTCTCTATAGTAGAGATTGTAGGTATAATGCCATAGGTTCAATCCCCAGGACTTAAAAAACAAGGTGAATATACTTACCTGGCAGGGGAGAGGAGAGGTACTATGAAAGGTGGTTTTCCAAGGCAATTTAATCATTGCATTCAAGATGCATTGACCTCTGCCATTTTCCCAAAAAGGGAAAATTAGTTATGTTTCAAAGTGGTG